CACCCCCCGAAACATCAGTTTGTATTTCATTCAATGCAAATAGAATCAACAATTAACACAAACAAAAAGAAAACAACCACCGAACTCTCCAAGCCAAAAATAAATTAAAAGAAACAAACGCAAGAAATGAAATTGAAAATGAGAACAACAATTAAAGATATAAAATCACACACCCAAAAAAAATGGGCACGCAACGTCGTGCACACGACGTGCATCACCCGTAACAGAAAATGTACATGGAAAATGTAATGTACATGGAAAATGTAAAGTCGTGAGCGACGCGCAGTACCTGTCACTAAAATCACACATGAAAAATGTAACATGATACAATGTATCCTACTGCTAAGGTACTGGTTCCACATGTCGAAAAAATACAAGAAACAGTAGTCGACAAGTCGTGTCGTAGCTGCCGAGATGCTGTACTCAGTCTGCTGCAACCGACGGTACTCTACGAACACCCTACCGGTACCAAAATCATACTCTATGAACACCCTACTCCTACCAAAATCATACACACCAACAACTAAAGCACGCACACTACCACTGAGTGTCTAACAATACTAAGACAAGACAAGGCGGCCAAAAAAACTAGGACCGCACAACATGACGAAGTACAGTGTGAGTACGGGAGAAGCGGAGTGTTGGCCTTATCGGTCAACGACCCTTCTTCCCCTTCCTGCTCTATCTCCTCGTACCCCCTCGAGTGTCGGATGTCGACCTCCTCCTCCCTCGTGCGAATGAAGAAGTCCGCACAGCCGAGCGTGTAGATGCACTCGTCGGTGGGCGAGGTGGGGGCTCATCATCGTGGTCGTCACCATCGAAACCGCTCTTGCTCTCCTCCTCTCCCTCCTCCTCGCCGTCATAGTCCTCGTCCTCCTCCCGCACTGCCGCATCCGTATCAGGATCATCCTCCTCGATGGTGACAGGGCCTCCTCCCTTCCTCAACACAACAACCCTCGCACTAGCCTCTGCAACCGTCTGCTCACGGCGGGATCCACGAGGCATCCCCAACCCCTCCGCCCCCGAACTCTCTCCAAGTGCAGTGCCTCCCTCTGCAGGCACGGGGCATCAACGAGGAGGCACTCCACGCTTGCGTGGAGTCTGCTCATGAACGGCACGCGTCGCTGCTCTCAGAGCGTGCTCCAAGCTCTCGGTGGACACTCCTCTGCCGCGACCTCGCTGACGCTCACAACCTGATGCTGGTACCTCCCTCGCCACGGTCGTCCTGGCCCCGTGGGGTCCCAAGCCTGGCTGAAGGTGTGCGGTGTGCTTCGTGACACGGCGGGTGGAATCCAAATCTATGTCTATCCTCCCGAATAACGTTGTGTCACACACGTCCCGCTGAACTGTTGTCGTGTCACGAATCCTGGATCTCCCAGGTGTGTGTGGGGATCGAGAGCCTCTGCCTGTGGGCGACGATGATGGATCACCTACATGTGGTCTAGGAGGAGGGGGTGGCATGTCTCCTGTACGTGGCGCTGTCTCCATCACGCCACCCGAAACCCCTGGAACATCTCCCACGGTACGTCCTCCAGTGGAGGTAGACCCAGACCACACGGGCGACGCAGGACCCCATGGAACCGAAGGGATCGCCTGCCATGGTGGATGCTCGAGCCTCTGGTCGAAGATCCGCCGGTCCAATCGAGTAACATCGCGCACAGCCTCTCTCGCCAACTCCTCTGCGTCCAAAGGACGACGGACCTCCTGCGGAGCAAAGTGACTAGGAAAACATGGGGGCACAACCATCGACTCGGACCCCAAATCTGTGATAACGGGAGGTGGCACACCATGCACTGCCATCTGAACCGCCTGGGACTGTCGGCCCTGAGCCAAGTGCAGGCCCGAGAACGGAACGACTAGACCCGTCGTTGTCTCCTGGACCACGCGTCGTGCGTCTATAGCCCCCTCATCTTACCGCTGTCCTGCCTGCACAACCTCATCCACCGCCTGTGGCCGTCCCTCCACAACAACTTTCGCTGTCTGTGGCCCACCCGACATAGCCTCATTGTCCGCCTCCGCTGCTACTCCCTCCGCAACGTCCTCCCCCGCCACCACCCCACCCTGCACACCATCCCCCCCTGCCTTTGCTGCCACTCCCTCCACAACGTCCTCCCCCACCACCACCCCACCCTGCACACCATCACCCCCTGTCTCTCGACGCCTAACCTCCTCCAAGGCCTGTGCGAATGCCTGAGCACGCAGGTTACTCGATGCCATAAGTCGAGCTCTCTCTCGCTCCATGATGTCGCGTGCTGCATCTGGAGACTCAGTCGTCGTCCTCTCTCTCGGGGTCTGCGTCAAAGTCTGTCTTGCCGCCTCGTCCCTCGATGGAGCCCGATCCGTCGATGTCGCCCAGCCGCAACTAGGTGGAAGACCCATCCACAAATCAAAGTCTAAGTGGTTCCCCATCTCCGAATCCGAAATCCCCGACCCCCTCGCCACACCCGGGGTCATACCCGCTATTACCGGATCGAGCTCCTCCGTGAGGAACTGCTGCATGAAGCGCTCGTCACCGCCCCCACGCGGCACCTCCACCTGTGCGGTTATCTCCTCCTCCACTGGTCCTGCCACCCCCCCCTCCACTGCAGCTGCTATCGGTGCCTCCTCCTCCTCCACTGCTGCTGCCCCCTCCACCTCCACGGTTGCCGCTCCTCCAGCTGCTCCTCCTGCTGCTGCCACCTCCCCCTCCACTGTTGCTGCTCCTCCTGCCGCTGGTGCCTCCTCCTCCACCACTGATGGTGCCACCTCCTCCAGCACTGCTGCTGCTATCTCGTCCACCACAGCTGCGACCGTCGCTTCCGCCACCGCCGCTGGTGCCATCCCCCCCTCCACTGCTGCTGCCGACGGTGCCCCCTCCTCCTGCAATATCCCCGGGAAAGGTGATCGTAACCTCAGCTGGCGGACTGCCCCGCCTCTGTGGAGAAGTCCGTGCTGAGGCAAAGAGGACGCCAACTCCTCTGTGTCCGCCGTTGCCATGGCCGGCTGAAGTGGCGAGACGGGCGATGGTGGTGCAGGACTCGCAGCACAAGGTGGCGCCATGGACGACTCCCGCCTCGTCGGAGTGGGGGTCGTCGCCCGCGCCTCTGTGCCGTCCGTGGAAGCGACCTCCCCGAATGGGCCCCAAAACTCCTCCTCTCCCCCCAGCATCTCGTCGTGCGTCTCGTCGATCTCATGGGGAATGCGGAGCGCAGGGTCATCTACCGCCTCGGGTACCGGCTCCTCGTCCGAGTCGTCCTCCCTGGGGTAGGGACGAAAAATGCAAGCACGTCTACCGAAAACGGCATCAGCAAAGGGTGGTGCGGAGGCCCCGATGGGATCCCGGGTAATAAGCGCAACCTGACGGGCAATCCCCTCCTCCATCATCCCCCTGCGCGTGCCCGTGCACACAAGCTCCACCTCGAGTCCTGCCTGGCAATCCAGCATGCCCTTGTCCCTCTGCCATGGCAGCACATAACCGCATCCAGCCCGCCGATACTCCGTCAGCCACACATTTGCGGTGATCTCAACGAGTTGAACGACCTTCTCGAAGGCCAACTGGTTGCGCTTCTTCGTGTGGATGCCCTCGTGGACTGCCTAGTTCCTCTCCGCTGGAGAGGCGCAAGACCACATGTGCATCATTTGAAGAGCACACCGCTGCAACTCTGACGCGCCAGCCCCGAACTGAGACCACCAAGACGCGCACGAAATCGTCTCGCCGTCGCCGCTGCACGCGCGCCCACGAGGACGCCCCTCCGCCCCGCCCCGCCCCAATCCCCAAACCTGCCGTGTTGAATGTCGAAGTCCTCAAACTGCCAACATGCAAGGATGTACTCCGCACCCTCCAACTTGAAACCCGTATGCGTCAGAATGTACCTCTTGGCTTGCCCCACGAGCCAAGCATGGTACCGATCAACCTCGCCTGGAAACTAGCGAACGTGTCGCCTGCGGGGTTTCAGTTTGCGCAGTGAGCCGGCTCAAGCATGTGTTGTGTGTGAGCCTGCACACGCCTGATGATCCGGTCGACGAACGACTCCCCCAAAGGAGCGCATGCGTCCGTGACACGACGGACAAGATCCTGTGTCCACTCGATCATGAGGGACATGTACTGTCCTCCACGATCCATCCGCCTAAGCAACTCCATGACAGGCTGCATGATATGGACGATGGTGGCCACCCTCTGCCACCAAGGATCCCATCTGATCTGTCGGTGCACCCAACGCGCCATAATCCACACATCGGCGGACCACGGGATGGAAGCCAAAGCCCGCGCGTCATCCCCTCGCATCATGTCCTGCAAAGTGTCCTGCAGGGCCAACAGCCTCTCTAGCATGGAATAAACAGACGCGAACCGCGTCTCGCAAGAAAGAATAAGCCCCTTGTTGGGGCTGCGCTTCCTAAAAAAATGAAGGGCGGTCTAGTGGGTTTTGAAAAACACCACCAGCACACGAGCGCGTGTGATAGCGTCGACAAACGCGTCGCAACTCGTCCCCATGTCAGACAACAATTTGTTGCAGACATGGACTGAGCACGAGAGCCAAGTGATCCTCCTCGGTGCAAGAGGCATGGTCGGCGAGGCCAATGCCCTGGCAGCCCCCACGTACGCAGAAGCGGAGTCAGCGCATATCGCATTGACCCGCTGCGGGCCGCCGAACCTGAACTCGTGGAAGATGGTAACCCATCTCCGAAGGACGTGCACTGCATCGTCCGGCTCGCCCTCTCGATTGATCGTTGTGTACACGACGACCCCTCGCGAGCCAGCGGCAAGGAAATTCACGATCGGTCTCCCGTCTCATGATTTCCTCCCGTCGGAAGGAGGGTGGCACCAATCACCCAGAATGGCTGCCTCACCTCCTCCAACTCCTCCGCCGGCTCTGCACGGTGGGTCTCCACCGCCCGCATACTCGCAATCTCGCTGGCACAGCGCGCAGGGAACTGCCAGGCTGCTCAAGAAGCAACTGTTCATATGCCTTCCAAGCTTGGTTGCGGAAGGCATTGAAGGAGACCCCGCTGGAATAGAGCCAGCAAAGGAAGGCCTTCTTGTGGCGAGCAACCCACTCGCCACCGTAGACCTCAGTCACCTTCTGCTGGCGAAGCCTCTTTCCAACTGGGGTAGCAGCCGGATTAGTTCCTCCTTCCTTCCTCTTGGAAGACCCCTCCGTTGCAGGTCCCTTGCCTGGTCGCCTCAGCCAATCCTCCATCCTCTCCGCAGTGCCTAGATAAAACTCTGAAACGTCCTCTTGTTCAGGGACTCCCTCCTCGCCCAGGCCACACGCCTCGCGATCAAGGTCGATCACGCCCTCCTCCGTGTCACCGCCTCCACCCCCCAACGGGTGGTCTGGCGCACCATAACCACCATCTCCCCCAACCCCTCCCTCCACCGGACGCCGCCCCGCCTCTCCTCCCCTTGCACCACCCGTGTCGGGCACATCGAGTCCGCGCTCCGCTGCATACTTGGCGACCCTCTCCATCTGATCGACCTCGAACTTCTGTTGAGTCTTTTGCGCGATCTCATACAGCGCCTCGTCGCTGACGTCCTTGCAGTACTTCGTCTGTGTGAAGTGCCTCGTGGCCTGGAACTGGGTCCCTTGGAAAACTTTGTTGCAAAACGTGCAACGAAGCATCATGAACCCCTTGTTGTCGACCTTCTAGCCGATAACCAGGTACCGATGCCCAGGGGAGCAGGCCCTGAATGTGTCCTGCACATGGTCTGGGGAAGGCTCACGCTGGCGGCGCTGTGCCCTCCCCATGCCGACCGCCCTGGCGAGACAACCCTCGCTAACTCTCTCCGAGCGCACCGCTGCAACCCAACGCCCGTCGACCGCTGCCCGTCGCAGGGTCCCCCCTCCCCCAACTCCGTCACACCCCCCCCCAGTACCCCACTCCCCCCCC